AAACACACGAAAAAACAAGGAAGGAGACCCATTGAGCCCCAAATGGCTTCCTTTCCCCTGCACTAATTTGCAGGTGGACTAAATCTACAGCCCCTCTTCATGACAAACAGGCAGCTGAGTAAGTTTTAGCTGTCCCCATGCTGTCTTTTAGCCCGGAAGCTGATCGTACATGTGCACAACTGAATCCCCAAGGGGAGCGGCGACCAGGGACTTTGCACTACACATGGAGAGGAATTACTGAGAAGTTGATCGAGTCGGATGTTTTCAGTTACAGCTGTAGCTGGAGGTAATGGTTTCCCCACAGGAAAGCTCAGGGATCCGTGGGCCTTGGTGCTCTGCTCCCTGACAGGAAAGGAACTGTTTATGACTGCAGCCCATGCCACCTGCTCAGCTATCAAGTGCACATTTGTTCTCTTGGGAACACAGGGTGGGGTCGTTACTAGAAACAGGGCTAAGAGCCAGCAGTGCTCCACTTCCAAATTCTGGCTGACTCCTACAGTGACCTCTGTCTGGTCCCCTCAATAAAACCAACCACTGCTTATTTAAAACTGGAGCCAGATAGGCAGTGCCTTGGGAAATAGCCACACTTCACTGGGATTTCTTTGGCACCGAAGGCACTCAAAATTACCCTTGTCATCAACAAATATTTATTGGGCATCTTCTATTAACATGCAATCAATGAGTCAAAGACACGTACCATGTCTGCGTTTACAGGATATGCTTCTAAAAGATGAGTGCATTAGAAAGGGATTATTTTTTATTGTTTTGTGAAGCATGGTTTTTTAAAAGTATTTATGTAAATTAATCCATGGAGCCAAGATTCCTGTAATTGAATTCATCCCATAGTAGCTGATTATTTGGTGTTGTCTATGCTCCATAAAATTAATTTTAAAGACAAACGTTAGTGACAAAACAGTTCACAAAATCCCCTCCACACAAAGAATCAGAAGGGTTATATACAAAATAAATTATTTTTTATTGTTTTTATTAAAACAGAGTGAAAGGACTCTGTCCTCAGCACCCTATGTGTGCGTGGTTGGAACATTATGGGTATGTAATGACAAAATACTCTCTGTGTCCTCTACATGGGCGGCATCCCATAGAAACAGTGGTTCTCCGTAAACAGCCCAGGAGCCGAACGTCCCCCACAGCAGAATCCGCTGGCAGCTGCCCAGATTGAATGTTTTTGTACTATCCTTGACTTCTACAGTTGGCAGAGAAAGAAAAAAAAAAAAAGCCAATTCTAGAAACTAGAGCTGTTGGATGGATGGACGGGTGTCCAGAAATGGAGGGTGAGAGAAGAGAGTGTTTCTCTTATATTTTGTTAAGCATTGGGAGCAATTATAGGATCACTGGAAAGATTTCAAGTGTTTTAGACACACAAAAGCCAACAAAGTCTCCTGGTATTTTAAAACCAAAATCACCAAGCTTAGTCTCCTTGTAAGAACCTTAGTGTCACTTCAGGACCCAGGAGAGACAAACGCCGCAGGCATCCCTACCAAACCTTAGAGGCTGTTAAAAACTCCACTCAAGGGAGCTCTTACTGTAAGAGGCTGACCTATGTTGCACCTGAGCCCTGCCACTCTTGCTAAGGAGGCTCTGGACAGCAGTACTCAGCCCTAGCTCCACCCACGTTCTTCTGGGCCCACCTGTTGCTGGAGGAGTCCTGGTTTCCTTAAATTTTCGGTGAAGTTAGCTCGAGTTGAACAGGGGAGAGGGCAGAAGCACGTGACATGAAAGCACACTATTGGTGGAAGTCTCTGTTGGCTGCTTAGCAGCTCACTTTTCTGTGAGTTAGATGAGTCAGTTCCCTGTTCTAAGAATCAATCCACTAAATTATTTTTCATCACACATGCCTTATTAGTGATAGCTTCAGGCAAAGCAGCCAAGAGACGAACCAAGACGATGTTTGTCTGGGGAAACTAGACTTTTCTAATCTACTTTCAGGGATGCACAGGGGAACCATTGGTTATTTGGGAGTCTCCAAACTCTGCCCTACACATGCAAAGTTCTGTCTTCCTAGTGTTGCGCATGTGACAATATTGTCTACGTGTCATCAAGTCCCAGTCAGCTTGATGGAACTGGAGTAACTTGGGCTGTCACAACCAAACAGCACAGACTTTGGTGGTTTTAATGACAGAAATTTATTCACTGTTGAAGAGGTGAAAAATCCAAGGCAATGGTGCCAGTAGGGCTGGTTTCTGGTGAGGCCCCACTTCTTGGGTTGCAGATGAGTACATTCTCTCTGGGCTCTTGCATGACTTTATCTGTGGGTGCTCTGCAGTGGCGGGTAGGGTGAAAGGAGAAAGAGGCACACAGAAGGAGAGAGAGAGATGTAGGCTCTCTTTCTCTTCCTTCCAAGACATCAGTCCTGTTGGGCATCAATTAACCTGAATTACCTTTTTCAGGGTCCCGTGAGGGCACTGTGTACACTGTCAAATTGGGAATTAGAGCTTCAGCAGGATTTTTTTTAATTTTTTTTGGCGGGGGCAGGAACAATTCAGTCCATGGCAAATGATAAATATTGATTAGTACATATTAATCTGGATATGCACAGGGCATTCATATCATTCATATCATGTGTTAATAATACTAGGTAATCGTGTAGACTAAATTAATTAATGAAATAAGCTAATTGAAATTTAGCAGATATCAGTCCATGCCATAGACAAATGGAACAGGAGATGTTTCATAGTATTATTGTTAGTAGTTTTATTAGTAATGTTAGTATTAGTATTTTGCACATGGAAAAACTGATTTGGAATCTTGACTTTACCACCCATTGGTTATGGGAACTGGGGGCACTAGTTTATCCACTCTGAACCAAACATCTTTGCTATGAACGAGGGTTAATGCAAGGATTACATGGGGAATTTTAGTATAGCACCTGACATGTAATATACACTCAGACAAGGAACTGAGTAAATCAACACAATGATTTGTCATTATAGTTATGCTAATATCAATATCAAAACTGAATTAAACTCATTAGCCAGTGGATATTTATCAGAATTCTCTGGTAAGTTAAATGTTTTATATTCTTCTGACTTCCAAGTTGGAATCTGGGGGACTGTATTCAAAGCAATGCTGTTTTCTGTGGTGATATCTAAGCACTCCAAGCCTTCTAACTTGTCTTGGGTTCAGATATTGGCACTAGTCACAATCTCCCAGTGGAGGCCAGGTACTCGGGTACCATTAGGAGGCAACACTAGGAGGGAAAGGTGCCAGTCCATGGGCAGCATATAGCTGGACACACTGATTATCTTTGAAGATGGTACCTACAAATCACCTTAGTTATGCCCTGGTTCACGTGTAGCCTGCTTAGGGTGAAAACACTACCCCCAAGCATAGAGCAGGGTTTGCTTATAAATGTGAGTGGAGATGGAGTTTCTGCTTTTAGCTATAAACCTTCTATTTTTTGGCAACAACAGCTTCAGGGTATTGTAGATCTTATGAGCAAAGCAGTAGGAGATTTTGTTGTAATTATTTTCTAATTACTGCTCCTCACATAGCATTTGACATTTATAAGCAATTCAGTTATTTCCTAAACTTGATTTTATGGATTTTTCTAGGTTTGGCATTGCCCTTGCTTCTTGGCACAGTATGCTGTTACTATTTTTAAAAATAGGCATGACAGTGAAGATACTGAAATGGAAATACAGAGCCAAAACAGGGTTTGCGTTCAACTGGAAGAACCTAGAAGCTGACATTCCAATGTCAGTGGGTTCTTCTACTCTTCTTTTCTACAACATAAGCTTTGCTTTTAAAACCTAAGTTGCTGCTATCACATTAAGCAGTATCAATTTAATTCCCATCACAGTGAATATTAATAAGTAATTTCACTTGCCTCCTAATGACTTTGTTCTTGCAAATATTCCTTTAAAATTATGCCAATCCAAACACTTATTTCCAATCTTCCTCTTAGAACATTGAGGAGCAAGAGAAATATTAGGTAAGAGAATGTTAGTTGTCATTAGATAAAAGGAATGAAAATATGTTATTAACTTCTAAGTTGCTGTTTTGGTCTAGAAGTCCATATTTGATTTCTCTCAGGCTAAACTTCATTTAACTTTCATCCTTCCAAGTGGCATAATTGTTTTCGTAGTAACTGTTCTATACCTATTTTTTCTTCTCCTATACCTAAAAAAAAATAATTTAAATAAGGACTGTATCTAAGCTTACAGGTTTCACACTCAGGGAATATACCTTCTAATGGGAAAAGGATAAGTATCAGATCCTTTGAAATATATACAGTGAAAATTTGGCTATTCTCTCTCTCTTTTTTTTTTTTTTTTTTTTGTAAGAGAGACCAAGAAAAATGCTGTCAACAATAATGTTAAATTCGGAAGTGTGAAGTTGTGCCAGCGGGTATTTTAGAGAGGCTGATGCTATACTTGGGAATTTGTCAGATACATCAATAACGTTTCATAGCACATTTGGCTGTGTGCAAAAAGCAGATACCGAATTTCTCCATCCCTCTTGGGGAATAAACACCCCCTATTTTGAAATGTATTGGGGTGACTTCCTCCATTCTCTTCTTCTGTTTATTTTTATGGGGCTCTTTAAGGAAGTACCTAAGCTGTTTTGAAAATATCATATCTTAGCTCACACCATGAGGGTTTGTTTACCACAGGAATATTAGTTGTGCTCCTAGAAATAATGAAAAAAAAATATTTCACCAGGGCAATTGGACAGCTAATCTTACTGGTTAAACCGGCTGCTGGCTGACTGCCAGTGGGTACAATGAAAAGATTCTCCAATTAGCTGTCCATTAAAAAGCCACTCAACTCTCTCTCCTATCACCTACCATGTTCCAGGGACTTTGGTGAGAACAAGGAGAAAGTGCGAGGGTAGCTGCTGATACATGGTTATGTCTGCGGTGAAAACATGCCCACCAAGAAAGACTTTCTGTTGTTCCTAAAGACTCAACACTTTGGTGTGCAGAAGGACCTCGGAGGATTATGACGTCTAGAAGAAGTTCTTGCAGAAGAACTCAGCCAAGTCGAGTCAGATCCTAATTGCCATGTGTTTCCGCTGCCCCAGCGTCCTGTGGCCGTCTCTGATTCCTCTGCTGTGGCAGTTTGAGAAGCATTGTTCACACTTAGCTGTTTGTGGTCTGCCAACCATTGCCCAAACAGAAGAGGAGCAGCACCTGTCATCTCCCCAGACCCAGTGACTCCAGTATTTCAAAGAGTTTATTTTTTAAGGGGAGGTCATTTTGGTCCCCTTAACACTCAGCAAGAGCCCTTGATTTGAAGCTGTAGACACTACCTTCAGCGAGAAAGCCCCATGGCATCGTCATGCTGGGAACCAGGAGAGCAAGGGGGCCTGGTTGCCCCATCCCAGCGTGGCAGGGGAGAGGCTGGGAGCTGTCAGCTCCTGGCACGGCAGCCACGGCCTCGTCGCTAGCAGTGATTGCCATGTACTGATGCTTGGCCCATCTGAAGTCCTCCAAGAACTCCTTCACTATTGTCGTCCTTATTTCACCGAGAAGATTCGCACCTTGCCCACAGTAGGACGGTGAGTAGAGTGAGAGCCCGAAACACAGGATGCTCAGATTCCGAGCCCAGACTTCTGTTTCTCTGGCTATTGCCACCTCCTTCCAGAATTTGGCATTAAAAGGCCATGTTCCAGGTAAACGGTTAATGTTTTTTCCATGTTTATTTCATAATTATGACAACACATTTTATTCCTTTTATAATTTCATGGAATTTAGACAAATAAATGATAACCCTTAGTGTATAGCACATTAAAATCATTGGTCTATGTAGGCATCTGCTTTTATTTAATTAATTTAAGGTTATATGATGTCTGCTTGGGGACACCCAATTTAGGGATGAGGATGTTTACGATAGTTTGTAACTACTGAGTGATCCCACACTGATTCACCTCCCACCTCCAGTTGGACTTCAAGAGTAAACTCTATTATGAAATTCATATTTTTATGCTTCTTACCTTTTAAGAAGAATTTTATCTTACATATCATAAAATGTCTTAAATCTTCACATGTTTCTGAGGTATAAATACTGTCATATTGCATATGATTTTCCAGTGATGCACATATAAATACAGGTATAGTTCATAGTTTCGCTTTGGTAAAATATATAATTCTAACTGTAGTACAACTTATTTATCCATTCTCCTTTCAGTAGATATTTAGACTATTTCCAGGCTTTATTGTTTTAAGGAAATGGCAGTGTGAATATTCTTGTATTTCTTCTAGTGTGCATATATCTCCTTAGGTATAAATATGAGAAAAAATTTAAACTTCTTATCTTATTAAAATTAAGTGGTAGCTCATTGTGTTCTTGGTATGAATTTCCCTAATAGCTAAGAAGATAAAAACTTCCTCTTATTTTTATTGGCTTCATGCATTCGCTTTTAGGATAAATGTTATCTATTCCCCTGCTTCTTCTAAGCTGTCTTTTTTCTTATTAATTTGAAGGAATTCAACACATGGTCTGTAAGTCACCCTATGTTGGTTATTTTATTGCAAAATTGTTGTAGTTAGTATTGCTTTCTTTTCGTAGTTTTTGATAAACAGGTATGGTAGTTTAATTTGTCCATCATATTTTATGGTTAGTGATTGTTGTAGCTTATTTAAGACAGAGTATAAGATTGGATATGAATTCCAATTGAATTGAATTGAAGTTTTTCTTCTTACATTTAAATCTTTAGTTCGTATAGAGTTATTTTTACATAAGCAATAAGGGAAGGGCACATTTTGCTTTTCCCCATCACCACTGAGTATAAATCCTAGATCTACTTATTGAATAGTGTGTATTTTTCCCATTGAGCTATCATGATATCCTTGACCATGCTAATAGTCCTTTTATATAAGAGACTATTTGGGACTTTCTAGTCTCTTGCACTAGTAAATTTATCTGCCTCTTAATCTGTTCCATAAGTACTTAATTATTATGATTTTACTATAAGACTAGCTATGTTGTGGGAAGTCCCTACTTAATTTTTAAAAAGATATATATTGGTAATGCTTAGCTATTTGCTTTTTCCATATAATTGTAGAAAAAGAATGGCAAATTTCATGGAAAACAAAGCAGAGATTTTAATTAGAGTTACTATGAGTTTTTGGGACAGTTTATGAAAATTGACATCTTTCATATATCACTTTCTTCTACGTGAACATGGGCCATCTTTCCATTTGTTTGGAGCTTCTGTAATTTCTTTAAGTTAAATTTTATTCTTTATCAAGAGCTTATAACTATTTTGTTATGTATATGCATAGATACTTTATTATTTTATTGCTTAAATAAATGGTGTTATTTTAAATTATACTTTGTACAGTTTTTCTGTTGTACTTGAGAAATGTACTTGACCTTATTTTTGTATATTTTGGTTTATATTATATCCAGATATTGATCCATACTAATACGGATCCATACTATTATTGCTGATCCATGTAATTATGTAATGATACCTGAACTTCGATATGGGATGGCGTTGTTGCAAGCAGTGGTTTAACCCACTACGCCACAACATCGGTCCCTATTTGACTTTGAATTGTCTGTAGAAATTTCTTTGTAGTAGGTTAGTGGGGCCCATCTCCCCCAGTATTTATTTAATTATAAATGTGTTTATTTTGACCTCTGATGGCTCCATTGGGAATACATCGTAAAAAGACAAGCATTGTAGTTAGTAAACCGGTTCAAACGCTTGCGCAGGCGCCCGGCAAAGGAAGCTGGCGGATGGCAGAGTTTGGCTGCAGTGGAGCTGGGGAGGAGTTTATCTGATCTCGACGCGGTTTCAAGGTGCAGCCAACAACAGTTCTTCTTCGGATTCAGGGTTTGAGAGAAGGGATGAACTTGACAGGGAATCAAGGGTCTTGGGTAACCTGAAAGATGGATTTGCTACTACTGAAGATGGGGGGGTCATTTGGAGGAACAGATAGGATTTTGGTTTGGGACATCTTCATGCCATATTTACTAAGCAGAAACAGGAATGCTGCACGTGTGAGTGTGGCGTTAAAGAGAGCTCTGCGTTTTTCAGTCATACACATAGACGACATTTAAAGCAAGGAAACTGGATGAGGTCACCATGGAGAGAAAGGGGTGGAGAACTGAGTCTTGGGAGACTCCAGTGAGGAGAGGTAGAAAGAGGGTGGTGCTGGTGGTGGGGGATCAGCAAAGGATACAGAATCAGTAGCCAGTGGGATAGAGGGGGAAGAGAAGAGTAGCATGGTCCCAGAACCCAAGTGAAGGCACAGTACAGGGACAAAGTTTCAGTCATCGCTTTCTCAAGATACAGATGTAAAAGGTGTGTGGAAGACAGAAATGATCACTGATTTAATGTGGAAGAAATTATACTCAAGGGAATTGTACTCACATTAGAGAAAACTGTTACAAAGGGTTTTCATGCTGAAGGCAAGAGAAAGGATTTAGAATCTGGAAGGTAAGTACTACATGGGGTTGACAGCGTGGTAGCCACTGGACACAAGTAACCGCTCAGTAATTGAGATAGGAACAGTTTGAACTAAAATGTGATGGAAGTATAAAACAGACACAAGATTTCAAAAATTTTTATCAAACCAAAGTAAACTATCTCAATTATTTTTAAACTGATTATATGTTGAAATGATAACATTTTGGATCCATTACACTAAAAATATAAAAGATACCTACAATATTCATTGAAAATGGGTGTTATGGAAAAAATACGAAAATATTTCAAAATACATCATATCAAAGTAAGCTTGTATTTTTAAAATTTTTTATTTATTATATTTGAGAGATACACAGAGAGAAGGAGAGAGAGAGAGAGAGAGAGAGAGAGAGATAAATGTCCTACCTGCTGACCTGCTCCACAAGTGCCTGCACCAACAGGGGTAGGCCAGCCGAAGTTGGTAGCCAAGAACTCAGTCCAGGTCTTCCACATGGGTGACAGTGAGCCAGCTATTTGAAGTTATCACCTAATGCTTCCCAGGGGGTGCATCAGCAGAACGTGGGTAGTTGGAAGCTGGAGCAAAGCCAGGACTCAACCCGCCACTCCAGTATGGCCTGTGGTGTTGCAAGTGATATCTTAGTTTCTACACTCTAAATTCCCAGCTCACACTTATCGTACACATTTTGGAGTTCCTTCTTATATTATTAACATTAAGTTCTCCTTTTTAAGGTTTATTTTTAAATGTGTATACTAGAAAATTTAAAGTTACATTGTGGTTTACTTTATATTTTTACTGAAATTCAAATACACTAGAACTATAAACACTTAATATGTAGGAGGTTGTGCATAAAAACATTCTCTGGGACCATAGTGGTACAGAAAGTTAATTTGCTACTTGGTACACCAAGAGCTTGGGTTCCTTTCCCACCTACATTTACAAACCAACTTCTCCTTAAAGCACACCCTGGGAGGCAGAAGATAATGACTCACATATTTGTTCTCCATCACTGATGTGGGAGGCCCTTAGGGAGTTACGGGCTCCTGATTTTGGCTAATTCCAACCCCAGATGTTGCAGGCATTTGAGGAGTGAACCCCAAATGGGTGGAAGATGGATCTTTCTCCCCGCCACCTCCTCTCTCCCGCTCTGCCATTCAAATAAATAAAAATAAAAAAAAACACAAACTGTAGAGCATATTAATTTGTAAATTATTGAAGATTATCAAATGGAAGCCTTCAGGATAGTGAAGGTATTTGAAGCAAAGCTGATCATTTAAAACCAGCCACGGTGGAAAGGGTCTCCTTTCAGACACTTGGAATGTTTGCTTCAAAGCTATGAGGAAGATTTTGGATCATTTCCTCAAAGGTCTCACTAAAGTTGGTAGAATTTAAAAATAGTGTGTTAATTGCTATAGATTTTCATAGATATTGAGTCCATCTGAGTCCATGATTGCATAAATATGAAATAGCTAATAAGATGTCTGAATGTTTTGCATCTTTGATATTTTGAAATTAATTTTATTTCATGGTTCTTCAAGCATGAAATGAAAGCAATTTTCATGGAAAACTGCTTGATCTAGTTATTATCTGACCATTTGTATTCTCACACGATATTTGATGAATCGGTGTTAACGATACGGCTTCATCCTTTCCTGGTAATTACATAATTACTAGGGATGCAGGAATCCAGCTGTGTTTGGGTTTCACTGAACATCTTGAACTGTCATTCCAACATTTGAGTAAAATTTTAAAAAAGCGATTTTATCAAAGATGGTTTAAAATGTTAAACACACATACTTTTCAGAAGAAATTTAATCCATTTACCATTCCCTCCTGAAAGCTTTTGTTAAGTGAGGACTCTGTGAAGTTCAAGAAGCCGGATGTGCCGTGTAACGAGCTCTGTCTCTACTCACTTCATTTCCCATCATCCAACAGTCATCTTTGCAGAACAAGTGCATTTTCAAGCATTGGTCTTAACCCTAAAAGCTCTACAGTATTTCAGTTGTTTCTGATTGTGTTTAACACAAGTGTTTCCTTAGTATCGTGAAAGCATTTTGGTTGGTTATCACTGGCTAAAACACCTTCTGATTTTGTGTAATTACTCTTTCACCAACATTGAATTGTGATAATGTGCTTGCTAATTGGCTACATTGTAGACTGCTTTTAATTTACTAAAGTAGACAATCACAATAGCAAAGCCTAGCATACGGCAGGCACTTAATTAATATGTTTCAAAATAATCAATTAACTAATAATGTGTATTTGTTTTAAATTCCATTTGTGATGACTGCTTTATAGAGCAAAAACTGCACTAATCCCTTTTCAATACTTTCCTATTGCTCATGTCTATAATAAAATGTATTTATGTAAAATAAAAAAAATTCAGTGGCTCAGTTCTTAACTTGAATGAGACACTGATTAATATTTTACATTTATAGAAGTGTTACAAATAATAATCAGAATACTGTATAAACACATGTATAAAATATAATGTATAATACATTTGTAATAAATATACTTAATATTTATACTATACATAAACATGCATATATTATATACATATGATACCAAATATGCTTTTATTAGTGTATTAAATATTTTACTGCAATGTGTGTTATATATGTTATATAACTGTATATATATTCTTTTTTTATAAATTCTTATTTTTTTAATTTTTTTAATTTTTTTGACAGGCAGAGTGGACAGTGAGAGAGACAGAAAGGTCTTCCTTTGCCGTTGGTTCACCCTCCAATGGCCGCTGAGGCCGGCACACTGCGGCCAGCGCACCGCGCTGATCTGATGGCAGGAGCCAGGTGCTTCTCCTGGTCTCCCATGGGGTGCAGGGCCCAAGCACTTGGGCCATCCTCCACTGCACTCCCGGGCCACAGCAGAGAGCTGGCCTGGAAGAGGGGCAACCAGGACAGAATCCGGCGCCCCGACCGGGACTAGAACCTGGTGTGCCGGCACTGCAAGGCGGAGGATTAGCCTAGTGAGCCGCGGCGCTGGCCTTGTATATATATTCTGACACTATTTCATTTGCTTTTCACAGTGATACCATGAGAAAACCTGATTTTCTAGAGGAAATGCAGAAGGAGGACTGCTGCCTTGAGGTGGTAAATAATTTTTATATCAATAACATCTGTAGTCTACTTCAAGTTGAGGTATATATGTATATATTTTATATATATTTATTTATATTTACAGGAAGAGTTACAGAGAGAGAAAGAGAGGGAGAGAAAGAGAGAGAGAGAGAATGTTCCATCTGCTGGTTCACTCTCCCAAGTGGCCACAACACCTGGGGCTAGACCGGGCCAAAGCCAGGAGCCAGGAGCCAGGAACCAGGAGCTTCTTCCAGGGCTCCCACTTGGATGCAGGATCCCAAGCACTTGGGCCATCTTCCACTGCTTTCTCAGGCCATAGCAGGCAGTTGGATCAGAAGTGGAGCAGCTGGGACATAAACCAGTTCCCACATGGGGTGCTGACATCGCAGGAGGCAGCTTAACCTGCTAAGCCACAGTGCTGCCCCAAGATGAGGTATATTAATGCACAGCTTTGCTTGCTTCCTTTCACACAGTCAAGAATAGGCATTTTCTAGGCCTGATCTAGTTTTTGCAGGGAAATTGCTCAATAAAAGGGTACTTGAAAAAGTGTGTGCACAAACGGAATTAAAAGATGTTTAATTTGGAACTAAAACTTTTGAAATACATAGTTTTTTTTTCATAATATGCACATTCTGTGACCCTGTAAAGACCCCTCATATGCACAGATTTCAACATTTCTTGCAATAGAATAAACTTACATTGTAATCACATTTTCAGTTAACCTTTTGAAGTATCCTTGTAGCAAGATTTATTAAGCACAAGGAGTAGGAGATGAAGGGTCCAGAGAAGTTTCTGGAAATCACTCACCTATTTCCCCCAGCACTGAGCATTCTCGGCTCTTCGTCTTCCTTTAAAATCTCTGTCTAGTTTCTCCCAAATCACAAGATAATTTTGTTGGTGTAACAGGTGTCTGTGCTTCCATTACTTCACTCTAGAGTTAACAAGGAGATGGAGAGGAACTTTAAGGTCATACATAAACAAACTACAGTCATGTGTATCGTATTTTGTTTTGTTGGTGTCAAGGAGTACAAAATAATCAATTTGCAGGTACTCCATATATTTTTTTTTACCCAACTTCAGCTATCTTAAGGACTGTCAATGAACTCCCAGATTGGTGTCCATATTACCAGAAATTTCAGCTGATGGATCTGTTTATAAGGTCACATTCATGGAGGGTAGATATTCATAGAAAAAGAATTCCTCATTTTCCTTCAGAGTCTGTGAATTATATCCTTAAGTGTGCACTCACAGTCCCAATTTCTCTTAATCGAACTTTCGCTCCAATTCATGAAAAGATTCATTACAACACATTTCTTTCTGTGGAAAGTGTGCTCAGAGACATAGACCTGGCATACCTTTTCTTAAATAAAAGGGTGAACAAGTGGGGAGTGAATGTGGATGGGTGCAGTGACTCTGTATTCGTTGTGGGACTGTGAAACTCATCTCTTTCTGAAAATTGCTAGAACCTCGGCTTGTGTACAACCATGTGCATTTTATGTACATGTGTGTAGCGTGTAGCAAGGCCTGGAGTCACGAACAAATGGTTCAGGGATGTGAGCAGTTTCTGCCAGCACCTGGCCTCGTTTTCTGTGTACATAGTACAACAGATACTGCTGATCTATTTGACATCTCTGCCTAAAACTGAGATTCTGTTAATTTACTCCAGATTACCTGCTGGAGACAGAGAAACTGGCTATTCTGTTACTTCCGGGAGATCTGAATTCCAGCGGACTTCCATAGCAGGTCAATAACATCTTGTTTTGTCTTGGCAACAGTTCACGACTCCTCCCTCAAGCTTTGCTAGAGTGTAAGCAATGACTTGTTTCTGCTAAGGGTTCCTCCACAACTTGGAAGGGAGCTGGCACCTCTTTCCCAGCCACCTTAACCTTTCCTTGGGTAAAACACTCACATAGGAATTAAACATTCATCACTGGCCACACACACACCAATCATGCTGTTTTGCTTTTTTAAAATTCACTCTTCCCTGGGCTTTTACTTTTTTCTTTTGTTTTGTTTTGTTTTCAGTTGGGAACTGCCCAACCCCACTTTGCTAAGCTGAAACTAACCTTTCCACTCGGCAAAAAGGGCATCTTTGCCTAAGCAGATGGTGATGTGCACTGGTGTGTGCAATTTATTTCCATGTCACTGAGCATTACAGACTTTGCAGAAGCAGTTTCAAATATATTTTAAAATAAAATATGATGCATTGGGTTATGGTCTGTGTGGATTATTTTAAAGGCAGGTGTGCCCCTCTCTTCTTGCTTTAAGAGCTAACGGTAGGTAAGCAACCCAAGTCGTACTTGCAAAGTCATGATTCACCATTTGGGAAGGGATAGGGGCTAAAATTTAGCTTCACCAGCATAACAGCTTCAATCAACTTCCAGCCATGTCGCTGACATCAATCAGTGAAATAGAAAGGCATGGTGACAGAACCTTCTCCTAAGAAAACGTTCGTTACCCATCACATCATATGATATATTAGAAAAGAAATTGTCAAAAGCTTCACCAGATGAAATCAACATCTGAGATTTCTGGGCCTGTCTCTGCCATTACTCAGACACTTAATTCTCTGGACTTTAGTTCTAGCACATAAAATACAGGGTTCCATTTATATTAGCACTTCGGAGAATAAACTTCTCAAAAACTCTTTCTTCAAGATCCACAGTGAAGAATTCCATGATCAAATAAGTTCAGAAAGCATAAACACTGTCACATTAAGGAGTTCATGGATAATTTTACAAAAGTCCAGCAGCAGAGAAAACATACAATGCTGTTTAATTCTGTGTTTCTAAATTTTCTTTGACCATGAAATATTTTACCTATTAAATGCTGAGATATAGCTTGATGATAACTTTTACAATTTTTTTTTTTTTTGACAGGCAGAGTGGACAGTGAGAGAGAGAGACAGAGAGAAAGGTCTTCCTTTGCCGTTGGTTCACCCTCCAATGGCCGCCGCGGCCGGCGCGTTGCGGCCAGCGCACCGCGCTGATCCGACGGCAGGAGCCAGGAGCCAGGTGCTTTTCCTGGTCTCCCATGGGGTGCAGGGCCCAAGCACCTGGGCCATCCTCCACTGCACTCCCTGGCCACAGCAGAGGGCTGGCCTGGAAGAGGGGCAACCGGGACAGAATCCGGCGCCCCGACCGGGACTAGAACCCGGTGTGCCGGCGCCGCTAGGCGGAGGATTAGCCTAGTGAGCCGCGGCGCCGGCCGATGATAACTTTTAAAATAATTCCTAAAAGCCCATCCATCTAAACCTTAAGGGCATTTACATTTTGCTGAGTAATATTTATTGTATACTCGAACTGTTGAATTAATATAATCTATTTTATGATTTTAGTTTTACTGCCTAATGTATTACATATCCCATATCTCATAAAGGAGTGGAAAGTAGCCCTGATATAATTAGCAAAATCTGGTCTTCAGATTTTATGACAGTGTTCCTTGTCTTCGTGATATATATTTTTAATCTCTTTGAGTTTTCAGTTAACGTACTATTTTAAACTCACATAACTCACAACCACTGTGTTTACAGTCAGTTTTATTATTCCACCCTTAAACATCAAAAGAACTTGAAATCCAGTAAATACCTGTTAAAGTTAGAACTCAAAGTGCAAATTCACTGCTTTCTGGATTGAGTTACTGGACTTTTTTTATTTGAAATTCAGAGTTACAGAGAGAGAGGGAGAGACAGAGATCTTCTGTCCATTGGTTTTCTCCCCAAATGGCCAAAACTGCTGGGGCTGGGCCAGGATGAAGCCAGGAGCCAGGAATTCCATCTGGGTCTCCCATGTGGGTCACAGGGGCCCAAGTACTTGAGCCATCTTCCACTGCTTTCCCAGACCGTCAGCAGGGAGTTGGATAGGAAGTGGAGCAGCTGGGACAGGAACCTGTACCCATATGGGACGCTAGTGTTGCAGGTGGCAGGTTTACCTGCTAAGCCACTGCATTGCTTTTTATACTATGATTACCAGAATCCAAACATTTAAAAACAAAGCAATAAATATCGTTTACTGATAGTTTCAGACAAAACAATGTGATGCTTGGGTTCATGGACATTTAGAGTTGAGATGGTAAGGTTTGGGGGGTATGAGGAGCTGAGGACATATTGTGTTATAACTGGTAATTCCTATAGATATATGGCAAAAAGAATATTTGGAACCCAAATGATACCATATGCCATATGAATTTGTCACCTTGAATTGATTCTTTGATTCTGGCAATAATTTGGCAGCTTCCACACTGTGGATGCCATATGTTGGTGGTCTCACTGCTGTGTGCCAAGTCAGCTTCATAATTGGTTCATGCTATGGGAAGTAGCCTCACCACATTCTTTATTTCTCATACTATTGGAGCCTCCTTACCCTACTGTGTGCCGTGTCTCTGGAGATTGCCACCCAATTATTCTGCAATGGAGAATGAACGCACAGAGAATATCAAAGGTACTTTTCATACATGTTTCAGAAAATACGTGTTTCAGAAAATACCCACTTAAGAGACAAAGATTGCCTAATCTATGAGTATTCTTTAATGTTATGCTAATTCTAAATTTCCCTGTGGAATCACAATATAAAGATCTAACTTTTGCTGAATACTTCCATGTCCTGGGTAAAGCACTAATCACTTCCTGTGCATTTTCTTGTCTTAATTTTTAAGACGTGATGGGATTGCTTTACAAATAAGGAATATGAGGCTCAAGTCATTCACAGTAGGAAATCAACTCTCTACTCTGTGCTACAAAGCTCTACCATCTCTTATTTGCCTTGTTGTGGTTTATCTTCAGAACAGGAAGCTTTGTAGCTACTCCAATAAGACCAAATACATTTTTCAGTCATCTGACTGTTATTGGTTGAAGATTCTCCATGCTGAACATTCAGCTCACAAAATAATAACATCATCATCAACAAATAAATATTTACATAAATATTTAAGAATATGGAAGCTTTTATTAGCTAAAAAGCCAGTGTTTTTTTTTTTTTTTTTTTTTTTTTTTGACAGGCAGAGTGGACAGTGAGAGAGAGAGACAGAGAGAAAGGTCTTCCTTCCATTGGTTCACTCCCCAAGTGGCCGCTTCGGCTGGCGTGTTGCAGCCAGCGCACTGCGCCGATCCGAAGCCAGGAGCCAGGTGCTTCCTCCTGGTCTCCCATGGGGTGCAGGGCCCAAGCACTTGGGCCATCCTCCACTGCCTTCTCGGGCCACAGCAGAGAGCTGGACTGGAAGAGGAGCGACTGGGACAGAATCCGGTGCCCCAACCAGGACTAGAACCCGGGGTGCCAGTGCCGCAGGTGGAGGACTAGCCTATTGAGCCATGATGCCGGCCTAAAAAGCCAGTATTAACTCAAGTAAATGAAACTATAAAACTTCCTTTTCTCCTTTATCGAATGCATGATGAGAGGTATATACAAATTAAAATGCTCTAGTAAGTCTATTGATTCTGCTTATCAACATTACACTTACAGTTTAGCCTTAATTGTTTAAATGAGTCTATGAATAGATTTAGACAGATGGCTTATTCTTCCTCTGAATGTCAATATTTTCCTGGTACAAGTTGACATGAGTGTATAACCACAGGTGCCAAGTAGGAATTTTCTCATATATTATGGTTAAGGCCAACAGTCTGCAGTACAATATTACAAAAACTCCTGTGGCAATTAACCCCATTCACACAAAACTAGTTTCTGGGAAGGAATGATGGTTTTATCATTGTCACCTGTGCCAACTGGGTAAAGGCCCCACTATGTCTTGGAGCTCTCGGACTATGTTTGTAAGCTCCGTAAGTTCCAGGCACTGCTGTGCTTGCTATGTGGGACCTTGAGACTACCGTATTTGCATTTCGGTGCTGCAGGCCCATTGTTGCCCATGCATAATCGCCAGGATGACCCATGCTTTTCCTGTGGAACCTGAACAAACTATCTTAACTCCCCTGCAACTCTGGAACTGTGACTGAGTACTAAGTTTCTCAGAGTCAACAGAAACCATCTTGTGGGAACTACAGCTCCAGGCCAGCACCTGCCTGTTCACAAGCCCCAGCATAACATGTCATTATGATGTGGGACTGGGGCAAGGTCTCTTACTTCCCCCAGTGCTGGGATTTCAGTGCTTTAAGCCCCAGCACCACCCTGCACACCCAGCAGGACTTGGGGAAGGTCCAGTCCACATCACACAGCTCAGGGGTCACAGCCATTGATGCCACAAGCCCAAGCATCTCTCAAGTTAGCCTGATGGGACAAGGGGATGACTACCTCTGGGTCTCACAACACCAGAAATGTGGATATTGCTATCACAAACCCCAGAGTGACCAACATCCCAGTGTCTGGGGCCTGAATAAACGCATCTTTGAAAACCCACATCCACTTCAAAATCTTATTGCTTCTCCATGAACTGCCACATACTAGACAGTGACTGCACTCATAGATACTGCTGGAATGATTACATCTGAAGAAAACATGCAGAAGTTACACTTCTAGGCTCACCTAATACCAAAGCCAAGGCAATTGCCGAACTGACACTCCTAGTCCATCTGAACAAAAAACGCATTTTGAAATGACAGCTGCTCCGTAAAGGAGGAACTGTTACACCAGATGTGCCAACGTCAATGCAGGGACACAGAAAACAGGAAGAAGCGAGAAAGCATGGCACCTGCAAAAGAACACAATAGATTCTAATTTGAAGGAAATCTACGAAATGTCTGGAAAAATTTTCAAAGTAATGATCTTAAGGAAATTCAATGAGATACAAGAGAATACAGATAAATGCTTCAAAGAAATAAGGAAAAAAGTGCGAATCTCAACGGAGAAAATTTCTAAGAATCAATGAGAAAATTTGGAACTGAAAATTTGGATCAATGAAATAAAGAAACACATTTGAGATTTTCAGCAACAGAATAAAGAATTTCTGATCCTGAGGACAAGACCGTTGAAGCAGTCCAGTCAGACACAAGGAAATAGAAAAGAATGAACAAGAATGACCAAAGCCTATGATATAACACGGATACCATCAAGTGAACACATGTTCATACTATAAGGGTACCTGAAGGAGAAGAGAAGGAAAAAGGCATTGCGAACATATTTATAGAAACAATACTTGGAAACTTCAGAAGTCTTTTTAGAGATGTGCACCAAGATACAGGAATCTCAGCGGACCCCAACCAGACTAAAGCAAAACAAGAGCCGGCGCCGCGGCTCACTTGGCTAATCCTCCACCTTGCAGTGCCGGCACACCGGGTTCTAGTCCCGGTCGGGGTGCTGGATTCTGTCCCGGTTGCCCCTCTTCCAGGCCAGCTCTCTGCTGTGGCCAGGGAGTGCAGTGGAGGATGGCCCAAGTGCTTGGGCCCTGCACCCCATGGGAGACCAGGAGAAGTACCTGGCTCCTGCCATCATATCAGCGTGGTGCGCTGGCTGCAGCAGCCATTGGAGGGTGAACAAACGGAAAGAAGACCTTTCTCTCTGTCTCTCTCTCACTGTCCACTCTGCATGTCAAAAGCAATAAGAAAAAAAAAAAAAAAACAAGGAAAAGAAAAAAGCCCTCCAAG